ATGAACATAATCCCAATCTACTCAGTCTCTCCTCATAAGGCAACCCCCTCAACTCTGGAATTAACCTAGCGAACCTCCTTTGCACCCCCTCCAGTGCCAGTACATCCTTTCTCAAGTAAGGAGACCAAAACTGCACACAGTACTCCAGGTGTGGCCTCACCAGCACCTTGTACTGCTGCAACATAACCTCTCTGCTTTTAATCTCAATCCCTTTAGCAATGAAGGACAAAATTCCATTTGCCTTCCTAATTACTTGTTGTACCTGCAGACCTACCTTCTGTGATTCATGCACAAGGACACCCAGGTCCCTCTGCAACTCTGACAATTTTGGTGTCATCCACAAACTCACTAAATATATAGTGTAAAAACCACAGCCCTAGCATTTTTCTATTTGCAGCCTGCCAAATGGAAAATGCCCTGTTTATGCCCATTACTTGTCTCCTGTTCATTAACTAATCCTCTCTTACCCCTTACTACTTGCGTCCTTATCTTGCCTACTAATCTTTTGTGTGGCACTTCGTTGAATGTATTTTTGAAATCAATGTATACTATATCTGCTGGTTCCCAGGTATCTGCAGTATTAATTACATCCTCCAAAACTCTAACAAATTTCTCTAAAATGATGTACCTTCTGCAAAATCGTATTGACTTGTCCTAATTATACTATATTTTTCTAAGTGCATTGTTAGGTCTCTCAACATCAATTCTGTCACATCCCTTCCAAATCTTATATCTTTCAATGAGATTGCCAATCAGCCGAGAGGCCAATTTAGCGAATCTTCATTATGCCATGTCCAATACAAGTAATGCAATAATGGAGTCCAGCATTTTCCAGTGACCAGATATTAGGTTAACTGGACAGTAGTTCATGTTTTCTCCGTCCCTCCTTTCTTGAAATGCAGTGTTACATTTGTATGCTTTTTGCAGGTGTGGCTTGTTGTATGTGTACCTTGCTAGTTAGTCATCTTTAGGGTTGCAAGATTCCTACACAGAAATCAGATAGCTGAATGTAATGTCCTATTTGTTTTATGGTTTTGAATAAACTAACTTGAGTTAATCAAGTGAATGATTATTAGGCCATTATCATTAACATGACAGGAGCATTCCCAAATCTAAGGAATTTTGGAAAATCATAGTTGCAGCCTCCAAAACATCTGCAGCTATGTGTTTTAGAACAATGTGGTTTTAGACCATCAGTTCCAAGGGATTTGTCAGATTTAAGCCCTTCAAGTTTTTAAAATACTTTTATTTAAATTACTTTGGCTTTCTTACTATTCTAGTAATCCAAGTATGTTGTTTGATTCTTTGAAAACCATGGTCCAAAATATGTTCGGGTGACAATGGTTACTTATCTGATGTGTTTTGTTGTCATGTACAGTAACTATTTTCTAACTTTGGTCATTCTCATTGGCTGAATTGGGGTGGGGTGAAGGGTGGGCATAGGTGAGCCTGACCCCTGTTCACTTCAAGGAAGAATTCTAGAAAGTAAGAATATGTAGTAGATGGCAGAATATTTGGAAATCCCCTGAAAAATTTTGGTGTCTCCATAGACTAGAATCCCTATTGTGTGCAAACAGGCCATTTGGCCTAACATGTCCACATCAACTTTCCAAAGAGCATCCCACCCAGACTCTTTCCACCCCTCCCCCCGATCCCAGCATTTCCCATGGTTACTCCACCTAACCTACACATCCTGTCACACAGTGGGCAATTTAGCATGATCAATCCATGTAACCTGCACATTTTTGGACTGTGGGAGGAAACCAGACACAGGGAGAATGTGCAAGTTCCACATAGACAGTCGCTTGAGCTAGAATTGAACTCAGGTCCCTGGCAATGTGAAGTAGCAGTGCTAACCTCTGTGCCACCATGTCAACACTATCCTGGAGGGATGTGGAGGTGGCCTATCGGGGAAACCAAGCGGAGGTTTGGAGACCACTTTGTGGAGCACATACGCTTGGTTCGTGACAAACGACTGCACCTCCCATTCGCGAACCACTTCAACTCCCACTCCCACTCCTTGGACGACATGTCCATCCTAGGCCTCCTCCAGTGCCACAACGATGCTGCCCGAAGGCTGGAGGAACAGCATCTCATATTCTACTTGGGAACCCTGCAGCCCAATGGTCTCAATGTGGATTTCACAAGCTTCAAAATCTCCACACCCCTGATCTCATCCCAAGACCAGCCCAGCTCGTCCCCGCCTCCTTGACCTGTCCGTCTTTTCTCCCACCTATCCGCTTCTCCCACCTCACTGACCAACCCCCACCCCACTTCCTACCTACTAGCCTCAACACTGCCCCCTTGACCTATCCGCCTTCCCTCCCACCTACCTGCCCCTCCCTCCCGACTGACCAACCCCCATCTCAACTCCCTACCTACACTCACCTTTACTGGCTCCATCCTGGCCTCGTTGACCTGACAGTCTTCTCTCCACCTATCTGCTCCTCTATCCACCTTTCATCATCGCCTCCCCTTCTCTCCCTATTTATTTCAGAGTCCCCTTCTCCTCCCCCATTTCTGAAGAAGGGTCCAGACCCGAAACTTCAGCTTTCCTGCTCCTCTGATGCTGCCTGGCCTGCTGTGTTCATCCAGCTCTACACCTTGTTATCTCAGACTCCAGCATTGGCAGTTCCTAACATCGCTAGGAAATTGCCTAGCTCCCCAGTATTCCATTATGGTTCCCTTTCATACTATTGGTATGACAGAATTGAAGTGGAATTTACTTCAACTTTCAGCTTTGAATATTGCAATTGAAAAGCATGAAATTTAGTATTTGTTTCCATTTTCTCCAATGCTAAGCACCACCCTGTAATCATACAATGTAGTTTGGACCTCCAGGGTGCTTTAGGTGCACACACAACCTAAGCTTAAAGTATTTGATACTTTTTCTGAAGTTTGAGTTTTCTGTTGGCAATCATTGTAAATATTTCAAGTTGCTCAAAGTAAACCCTATCACTATTAAGTGTACAGCTACAGGAAAACTTTATGGAAGTAAAAACTCAGAGCTTGTTGCAGCGATGTTGAATTGTTTTGAACCAGCACTTATCTAGCTGCCTGATATAATTGAGCTGTTTGTTCCATCCTAAACTTCCCTCTCCCTTCATTGTGGTATAGTTGCTTAAATGTTCAATATCCAGTTGTATTTCTTCCAATGTAACAATTTCTCTTCTGAGAATCTGGGCAAAAGGTTTTAGCAACAATTGTGACAAGAGCGCAAACTATAGCAGAGGCCATTCTTGACATCACATGACATGAATTCTAGCTGGAGACAGTTTTTCTGAGGCCACTGAAGACAACTGTGATACCTCAATCACTGCCCTAAGTACCATCAACAAACTGAGATCACAACTTGTATGTTTAGATGATCCCTGTACCTTAAGATCTATTTGTATTTGAGAAAGCTGAAGCTTTTACATAGTTTTTACTGATCATTGTGAGTAATTCTGAAGGTTTAAAGTTGTTACAAACTCCAGTATAAATGGGGTTACAGATATGTTCTCAACATTATCCTTGTTAGCAAGTAACTCATTATAGTGTCTCTGTCACCTGGTAGCACATAAAGATCTTGCTTATAATTTATCTGGAAAAACCTTCTAAACTGAGTTTAGTACTGTTTGCTGACGAGGAATTAATTTTACAATCCCTAACATTATTGAATGCTTCAGTCTTTTGAGGTTGTGATATAAATCAAAACTCAGATTGTGGTGTGCTAATATATGCCTGATTTCAAACACATTCACTACAAAGTTAATAACTAGTTTCTTGCATTAAGTTCCCATTCCAAAGATTTCTGGGTGGCTGTTTGAAAGTTAGGCATGTACCGTGGTCCTCAGCCTATGGGTTTTCCTGGCATCTATTCAGCATTTATTGTTTTCTTTGCTTAGTCATTATTTTTAGACACTTAATTGAAATCATTGAATTGCAAAAGTGGCAGAACTTTGGCTACCTATAGTGGTGATAGGTGTATAAATACAATCTCAACTCATATCTTGACTGGAAAAAGTGCCAGTCACTTTTTGACGTATATTTTTGGAAGCAGAAAGACATCAATTGTGTCATTATCCACAGGTGATTTCATAATGCACAACCAGGTGAAGGACAGTGTCAAAACAGTAAGAGACCAGAGATGGTAACAAAATAAAGATATGTTGGGCAGTGCTTGTACTTGGTCAGAGATGAAAATGTTTCAGTGGTGGAAACTGTATGATTTAGAAAGGAAGTATAGTTGACAAATACTCACTCAAAAACAATTGTAACAATATGAATCATCTCATTTCAAATTCTCAGTCATGCTGTTATGCCATCAAGGTTTTCCATTATATTATTAAAGTTCTGCTAGTGGTTTCCCAGGGGGAACTGGGTTCCATTCCCAGCCTTGCACTAATCTTCTAACTCTAGGGATTTTAGTAAGACAATGAAAAGTGTGTCTCAGCATGGCTTGCCAGGTGAAGTATGGTGCTTTGAGTGCTGTATGGCACAGGGCAAGTAAACTAGCTTTCTTCTGCTGCCTGAACAACACATACCTTCCACTGACCAAACCTGAAATGGATTATTTTCTCCTGATTGAAGATGAGGGAACAATGGGGATGATGAAGTAAATCCGTTTCATCAGGTCATATATACATGTAAGATTCCATGTTGGTGTAATTGAACTGTCTGCATCTATGATACATCTCAATTAGTCACGGTGTGGCACATGTACACTGTACGTAAGATGAGAAAACACCTACTGGAGCCCTTAATTCATTGTATTGAACTTGATGCATGGGATGAGGGAACAAAGCTTCATATTGACCAGCCAGCCCACAAATTGTATGATAGTCATGTAGTGAAAGAGGATACTACTCATAGTAATAACCAAAAGAGCACAATTTCAGCCACTATCACCTTTCTATGATATTCCTTTTCTGTGAAATGCAACAATGCAAGGGACAAGTGGAGACACAAAATTGATCAAATTAAGTATCAATGTATTGACCTGGGTAATAAGATATCCTTAACTATAAAAACATTTTGTCAATAATTATGGTCAGCCATACCTGTAGCATATAATATCCCTTTGTCCCAGCATTCAGGAACTTCCTTTCAAAATAAATTATTTTTTAGAAGAGTATTTGCATCTATGAATACCTTGATGTTAATTTTAAAATTAAGTTGTTCATGAGTTCCTCTATAAATTCTAGGCACATGTATTGTTAAACTATTGGCATATATGCAAAATAATGTCACAAAATATTTGGGGAAATATCCAAATTAATGTGTTATAAGTCAGAAAGGAATCTAACAAGTTTACATTTTAAAAAAAAAATTACAATATTACTACCCGTTAGTGCTCAATCTTGCTTTTGTTCTACAACATAAATAAACATTTTTAAGGTATCCAAATGGCTCCAGTGAGACTGGACAAGACATATATTTAGTCATTTTCAAACAAAATGATCTGCACATCCTCCTGCCTTAGTCTGAATGTCAGCACATCATTTCTGCAATGATGCAGCTCAGTTATTTCCAGTTCTTAATTACAATGAATAATATTTTGCGTTCCTTTGCCATCTGATGACTCTCCTAACACCCCACTACTCACGTTGCTTCACACGGTTTCTTTGTTGTGCACAATATTTGTTTTCTCAAAGCATAGGATTGTGCCACAGTTGAGCAGAATTTCTTGTGGGAAAAATGAAAGTGGGGAGAGACTGTAAAGTGCACAGCATTCTGAGAGTTGTAGCTTGTTCACCCACTGTACAGATATCAACAATATCACTCAAAAGAATGGACTGCAGCTCCTAGAGTGCATTGCAATATTGCAGATTTGCATATCAAATTGCATCTGACTCCTGGCTTATGAGGATCAAGAGATGGAAACATCAGCCAACCTACAAACTCCTCTCAAGCAAAGAGTGCATTTTTTCAAAAGTACATTTATACTGATAGGGTGGCGAGTTAGTATTAAATTCCATTCTTCTTTTGTTGACTCCTTCCCATTTCTTTCCTCTCCATTTCTCCTTCGTTGTTTCTTCTCCCCCTAGGATGAAGTATTTGACTTTTTTTTCTGGCAGATTAACTTCCTCACTTACATGTGAAGACTTCAGTCCTTTCGCTGCATGTGTTGCACTTGACAAAACAGCACCAATGGAACTTGCAGTTGCACTGCCACACTTTGGTATACTGGTGGGTATTGTAACCTCGACCACAGCACATCAGGTCACAGCCATCTCCGTGAAGAGAGGTGCGATTACATAGTCTTCCCTGGGTCCCTACACTTCCAGTTGAGCTGTCCTCCTCACAGTAGTTTGGCGATCGCTCAATATAAACTAAATCTGTATCCATGGGCTTTCGATAGGTCCTGGGCTTCTTGATTTTAAGAAAGGTCGGCTGTCGTAATCGGGTGGCCCTGACCGCTTCAACGTGAACAGCTTCACTGTACTTTTCTTTCAAGACGTATCCAATCTCTCGGAATTTGGGAAGAGTTGTCCAACATGTCTTGGTAGTACACGAACCAGAAACACCATGACATTTGCATTCCAACTTCATCCTTTCTTCCAAAATCTGTTGAAATTAGAATAAGAAGTGTTACATGTGAATATTATTTTCTAATATCTTGACTTTAGCTATGCTTTGAGATATTGCTCAGTTAATATGAAAGAATACCTTGATGCTGTGCAGCTAGTATTGGGGGTCCTATTTTTTGATTGCTAAAGCAATATTTGCCTATTTTGCTTGCTTGTAATCCTGTAGAATATTGCTTAGTTAATGTATTTGGAAAAAAAACTGCTTTGCTACTGATTTGTTTTGTTTTTAATCTAAAAATAAACACCTTTCCATTATTTGTCTTCTCAGCTAAGATACGTCTGACTGGATTTGTAGGAAGAAAACCAAAGTAAGAATCAGGTTACTAACCAGTTAGTTAGGTGGATACATGAAGTGTTTCACTTTGGATTCCAAATACAGGCCTCAAGAATTTTAATCTGTCTTTTGCTTTCAAATGTTGACAGACCTGATTTTTCTGTTTTTCTTTAAGATTCTTTAAATCTGCTTTAAACAGATGAGATAGTGTTGAGCCCTCAGATTGTCAGTGTTGGTTTTCTTATTGGTTCCTTGAAATTCTTTATTCCGCCATCATTTCACTCTACCATTTCAGTGTGCTCTATATAGTTACCTGGTACATGAACACATTTCCTCTATTCCTTATGTTTTTTACATTTGATTTGAGAAGTTATAAAGAGTGAAGCCATCTTAATGTGCATTGGAATTTTCTATTGAAGGCTGATTCTAATAAGTCCCCACAAGTCCTTTGGCCAAATTTCAATCATTGGTTGGTTAATTTTAATACCATTCCTTTTGCAGTTTTTTGATATGATCTACCTAGTGGCAGCATCCTGCATCAAGCCATGGTCAGAGGAGTCGTGGCATTGCTACAAAAGAAAACTGGTGTCCTTTCCCAAATATGTGAATGGCATTTCTGATTTGTATAGAGAAAATGGTTTACTTTCCAACATTGGTTTGCCTTCCATGTTTAAAGTTCTTGGACACTGGTGATTGCACTGTGCAGGGCGAGTGTTTGTCCATAGCTGCTGAATCATAGCTACCTATCCCAGCAGTAGAGTCATGGGTCCATTAGAAAAAAACTGCGTTTGAGATTCTACCAGTAGAATTAAAGAGGCCCACCTAGCAGTTCATAATAATGTCCCAGTGTCTAAATAAAATAAAATGCACAAACTTTTGGGTGGTAAATAATGTTGGTGTTTGGATTGATCCTTTAAGTCTCAGATGTTTTGAGGCACATTGTAACCAATGAGAAAACAAAGTGTGTGCTTTAGTAAAGTCACAGACTTTTAGACTGCACTAATGGAGAGAAAGCTAATTAAGATATAATGTTAAGTCTTTTAATTTGATCAAATTGTTCTCTCATCACAAACTTGTGTCTTTAATACAAGGTTCAGGATGAACCAGTTTTTCCATTTACTTCAGCTGATTAGCTTCCTGCCTCTTCCCCTGTTGACAGTTAAGTTTCAACTGGTATTCAGAATATTATGTTTTTTTTTGTTTCTGCTTCTTTCTGTTGACAGTCAGGAATGTGGAATACGTTTTGAGGAATGTGAGACTTTTTTTAACTCTGTTCTTTTTTTGCTGGGGTTAACAATTGATTGTTCCCTACTTGTCTCTTCAGCTGGAATCAATGATCCCTGACTAGCCAATCAATGGATTTCTTGCAGTACGTTAATATGACCTTACACTAGTTACAATATGCACGTTTCAACTGGAAACGATTTGGTGTCTGAAACATTCTGAAAATAAGTTGATTACTGCATAAATTGGCGAGATAATAAACAGGCTGGAATGCATCCCTTTTCTTTTCTTATATACTTGTTGATAGTTTTACTACCCAGACATTGCCCATGTTATAGTCCCATCCAAACTAAATAATTCCTAACCCAAATGAATACAATAGTCAAGTACCCACTATAAAATTATACATGTCCAGTCTGTAATGGGTGTGTAAAGATTGTATTTTTAGCTTCCTAAGTACTAGGTGGAAATGTACATACTTAAATGCTGACGTGGCAAAGTCAAACAAACATCTGTACTTCAAATTATAATTATAGAATTATGTTACAGATCATTTCTCTTGTAACAGATATTGACATTCTGAAAATTTGATTTAAAAAAAAAAAGGAAGATTTGGTTCTGTGCTCCAGCATCCAATGAAAGCAAGTAATAATTAATTTTGTACATGGCCCTTAATGCTACATTTGCTGGACAGCAGCTATATAATGAGTTAACTAATGAATCGACTAGCCAAACCAAAAGCACCCAAGCCAAATTCCTTAAGTATCAATGGTATGAATCTCATCCTGTGATCTACTTCTGTAGCCATTGGTAAGAAATCCCTTCGCCAAAGAGCAAGCTGCTTACAACCAGCAGTAATATGGTAGTCTGCATCTTTCTTTAGAAAGTATTTTTGGTTCAGCACCCTTTTCATTGAAATTTCATGCTCATATAACGCTTCAGCTTTACATTAAAGTGCTAAAATGGTTAACTGATGCATCTTCTCTGTATAAATGATTTCCTTTCTCCCTCCTTTTCTATCCTATTCCACTGTAATGTTTCATTTTCACTTGCTATCCCTTGAAACAGAACAGTGGAACTTACATTTCTCATGTTTCTCTGCAACTAACAGGAGGCTTGTGTATTTCAAAAAAAGGCTCGAATATATATCATGTCTTTTACAATCTCAGGACATCCTAATGTGTTTTACAGCCAATGATGTACTTTTGAAGTGCAGTTATTGTTGTAATGTAGGTATTATGGATCAATCCAGGTTTCCCTCCATCCACTCATGAGTAGAATACCACACCGACTTGGAATAAGCTTTAGTTGTGTTGCAGAAAACCATCAAAGCAAACCAAACCCAGAGTGTTAGCTTGGATCATTGGTAATATTCTCACACTCTGCACCAAAATGTTGAAGATTCAATCTCAGTTCTCAAGCTGAGGACATACTGTAGCTGACATAAAAACAAATGCTGCAGATGCTGGAGATCGGAAACAAATATACAAAGTGCTGGTGAAACTCAGCAGGTCTGGCAGCATCTTTGGAGAAAGAAACAAAGTTAGTGTTTTGACGTGAGTCCAAAATGACTTCTTTGGAATGCAAGTAAGGTGCAAGTGCCCTGGGTTTTATAGTGTGGGGTGGAGCAAGTGGAAGGAAAGGGAAGGTCGAAGAAAGATTAGAGGGCAAGAGAAATGAGAGATCACAGGTGTCACACAGCAAAAGGCGAAGCGAGAGTGAGACAAGGAACAAAGCACAGATCCAAACTAGATGTTAATCGCTGAATATTGATCAGCTCTACTGAAAGCAAAACCATGAAGACTCTGGGTTGGGGCGGGGAGGAGGAGGTATCAGATAGAGGTCTGAAGTTAAACTCAATGTTGAGTCCTGAAGGCTGTAATGTGTCTAATGTCTAAGTGTCAGCATCTTATAAATTAAATCAAATACAATAGTGATAGCAGGACAGGTGAAACTGCTGGACATTAATGTGATGTAGAGTGAATACATCTTAGTGAGTGTTTCAGCTTGAGGAACTTCATGTCTGACTTGGGGAACTGGAATCTGAGCTGCAGACATTGCACTAAATCAGGGAAGGGGAAGGTTACCAGGACATTTTGTTCCAGCAAGCAATCACACCCTCAGACTAGGTCATTCGAAATTGGTCCTGTAATCAAGGACAAGAGGATGTGACTGTAGGTAGGTATCAGGATGTAGGGGTTTCCAATTGAGGAGCCTTGACCCATGCAATTGTCCAATAATTACAAGGTTCTAGTAAGCCTGTGCAGATGAAAGTGGGGACTGCAGGGAAAAGGAGCAAACTGACCATGACACTTTGGTTCAAGGAGCCATTCAAATGGGGGAGCACATAGGCATGTAATAGTGGTAGGGGAAAGTGTAGGGGGGATAGAAACTGTACCCTACCTCCATATGCAGGAGTCCCAAAGGCTGTATGGCCTGCCTGATGCCAGGATTAAAGACATCTCCTTGGGGCTGGAGAAGAACATGGATGGGAGGAACGGGATCTGGTTGTCATCATCCACATTGGTACCAACAAAATTCATAGGACTAGAAAAGAGGTCCTGCTGAAAGTTTCAAAATTTGGGAGCTAAATTGAAAAGCAGAACCTCCAAAGTGATAATCTTTGGATTATTTTGTGAATCACAGGCAAAACTGGCATAGGGTAAATTAAGTCAAGGAGTTAAATGCATAGTTCAAAAATTGGTACGGATGGAATTTGTGTCAGTTCATGGGTCACTGGTTCTAGTACCAGAGGTAGAAGGGAACTGTTAGGGTGGGATGGGCTTCACTTGGACTGTGAGACCAGTGTCCTGATGAATCAAATAATTAGGACCATAATTAGGACTTTAAACTAAGGGGTGGGGCTATAGGTCAGGGTTTAGTAGGAGTTTGGAATGTAGACTTATAAGCAAGAGGATATAGCGGCATTACAGGGCAGCTATTGGATAACAATAACTAAAGTGGGGCAGGAATGGACAGAGTATATAAAGATAGAAAAACAGCTGGAAACAGGGTCAATGGGGAAGAAGTGGTAAAAAGGCAAAATTAATGGTTCATTACTTGAATGCATGGTGTATTCGGATGGAGTTAACACAATAACAAGAAATGATCTTGGATCAGAAGATGTTAAATCCACGTAGGTGGAGGTAAGAAAAGAAATAAGTAGGGAAGAAGAAGGGCCTGTATACTACCCTATTGGGAGTAGTATACAGGCCCTCTAACAGTAGCTCTAACGGTAAGACTGAGAAAGGGGTAACAGGAGCAATTCAAACTCTTCTGCTGGAGAAGGGCATCACTATTCCTCTGGTAAGCTCATTGAGGCACAAAGCCTTAATAAACAGGATAAGAGGAGAGTACATACCCATTCCATTGTACAAAATGCACTTAGAATGTGACTTAATGTCCAGAATACTGCTACTGGGAATTTTTCAGAAATTACATGTGGACAGAGTTGACTTCGTACTAGGTAAGAATTTGGTCTGAATGAAAGTTATAGCTTTGCCATAATCAGAGGAAGTTTGAGTGAGATTAAAGAGATGGAGCTATTACAGGAACAAGTTCCATAATATGTAGTGACCAGGGCAATAGCTGAACAAAATCCATCACTAGAGGTCAAAGTAATACCACAAGCAGATGACTTTCTTTAAGGAAGCAGATAATTCAAAAGAAATATCTTCTTTAATTGGGACTCAGAAAGCTCGCACTGAAGCTAAGGCTGAAGGAGTTCCAGAGTGGGTGTAATGCGAAAAATGGAGTTTTGATGAGGAAGTGGAGACATCCTCACAGACCTGCAGACAAGGAATGGATGGTTGTTCATCAGATAGTGTTACTGTCCATATTATAAGAAGCTATTGTGAATAGCAAATTCAATTCCTTCAGCAGGGCACGTAGGAAAATGGAAAATTCAGCCACTGATAAAAAGGCATTTTACCTGACCAAGACTTCATCAGAGTGTAGTGCAGTTCTATAAAACATACCATACACATCAGGTAGTGGAAAAACATCCACATGTAATCAAGCAGTATATCCTTACAGTTATGGATATGACAACCTGATTTCCACAAGCTATTACTTTGAGGATATTATAGATAGAGGTAGTAAAATCAACTTTTTTTTTACTCCATATGGACTGCCAGTAGAAGGTACAGGTTGAACCAAGGTTCCAACTTTATAGCTAAAAGATTTTCAGGACATACTAAGTATTTTGGATATCAAACATTTTTTAACAGAAAGATGAATTCTCAATTATAGATTACGTGTCCATGCTTCTAGTCAGATCACAGGAGAATATAAAATAGCTCAGGAGCTTTTTTAAAAAATTCAGTGTTAGTGTTATTAACTTTACAAGGTGAATCTCTGAAAGTGAGATTCAGTAGTAAGGTAATTAATTACAGTGACTTATCTGATAGGTACTCCTAATTGCAAGCAGAAGAATCAGTTAGGTCATACAAATATGTTAAATGATACCAGAGAGAGGAAGATAAGAAACAGTAAGTATGTCAGATGGTAAGAATAGTGGAGGTTGGCAGACACTGCAAGAGTGAGGTAGGAAAGGAAGGAACCTTCTACAATCCAATTAGCCAAAACTAAAATACTGGAAGTTAGATACCATGTTCTTGTACTTAGACGAAGGATAATGGAAGATCTAGTAAGGTTACTTATAAAATTAAACAAATCTGTAGGGATACACAAGAGTGTACAGTGTTAGCCAGGCACAAATGTGAATATAGAGAAAGCAGTACCAAAGAAACAACAGCCTTATTATTTAAGCCCAGAGAAACAAGCTTAGTAGAAACTGAGATTCAACACGTTTTAAAAAAAAAACTTGATTTAACCTAGTCAAAGCTGTTGGAGTTCATCAGTGGTGTTAGTTCCTGAACCAGATGGATTGACTAGATTCTGCATCGATTATAGAAGAGTAAATGCGGGAACGAAAACAGATTTGTATCCAGTTCCTTGGTTAGAAGATTGTATCGATAGGATTGGAAATGCCTGATTATTTACTAAGACTGATCTGCTGAAGATTTATGAATCAAATCATAGATTATTTAGATGATGTTTTGATATACAGCAACGTGGGAGGAACATGTAAAAAATTAGGGGACTTATTTAAGCAATTGCTGTTAGCTAGCCCAGTATAAAATCTTCCTAAGTCTGAGTTTATGAGAGCAAGGATGACTTATCTGGAACGCATCATAGAGTAAGTATTATCATCTTATAACGAATAGCAAAAGTGAAATCTCTAATAGAATTCACCATTTCTAAAACTAAACGAGAAGTCATGAGACTTCTGGGGATGTGTTGTTTTAGCAGTAATTTGTGCCTAACTTCAGCATTGTAGCTATACCTCTAACAGAATTATAAAGAAAACAGGCAAAGGTAATGTGGTCAAAGAGTGCCAAACAGCTTTTACATTGCTGAAAGGAATCCTAATGAATGACTCTGACTACCACCGTCTTTACTAAATCTTTTCAAATTGCAATTGATGTTAGTGACTTAGGGGTGAGAGTGCAAGAAAATGAGCTGGGAATAGGGACACTGCTGAGGTACTTTTTAAATAAATTCAGCAATGGACAAGACGATTCTGGGATTGTTACTGGCTTTTAAGGATGTTAAAGTTTATGTCTGTCCAGCCACAAAGAAACACTAATGTCTACTGATTACAATTCCGTGCCTTTTGTAGAGAAATTTATACCTCAAAATACAAGATTATTTTAATGGAACATGTTAATTCAACTGTTATATTATTAGAATTGTTCATATTCTGGAAAAAATAATTTAATTGTAGATGGATTCTTAATAATGCAATGATGCTGGAATAGTTTGAAGATTTGAGAATAGATGATAACCAAAAATCATACAAATCTTGTGTAAAGAATGAGTAAGGATGAATGTATGTAACTTTGTGTTTGATTGTGTATATGGCATGTTTACCTTGTTATGAAACACATATTATGGTTTCCTTAACCGGAACAGGGTGCTATCTTAGATGATTACACTCCCACGACTGTACCAGAACATTCAAGAACAAATCCAATGCTTAAAAGTCCAGAAGCCCAGAAACAAAACAACATTTGTTGGAAAAGCTCAGCAGGTCTGGCAGCTTCTGTGGAGAGAATGCAGAGTTAACATTTTGAGGCCAGTGACCCTTCTTCAGAACATTCTGAAGAAGGGTTACTGGACTTGAAATGTTAACTCTACTTCTTCTCCACAGATGCTGCCAGATCTGCTGAGTTTCTCCAGCAATATCTGGTCTTGTTTCAGATTTCCAATAACCACAGTTCTTTGTTTTATTTTACTTAGAAGCTCAGTACCCAGGCTAAGAGTCCAATAGAAACTAAGAAGAATTGCCTTATCGTTGGATTTTCAGATGAGATTTCAGTCCAAGGTTCCACGTGCTTTTTTAAATGTTGATGCAGAATATTTAAAAATTGCTGGAATCCTATGGTTAAATGTAGGGAGTCTCCTGATCCTTTGGCTATTTTTCCATCTTTCACTAACACTGAAAAGGATGAACCGTTTATTTATCTCAGGACTGTTTAAACAGCTAAAGTAACAGCAATGTAATGTGATTTTAAGTTGTTCATTATACATTAAAAACTTGAACTTATATACACCTTGTCATGTTGCAACACAAAGTGTTTTTAAAGCCAGTTTTTGAAAGGATTTTTGAAAAATAGTCACTGATGCAATATGTGTGAAATATGAGGTATTTGTGATATCTCTGAGAAATAATATTAAAAGAAGGCACTGAATAATTGCATGTCTTTTTTTCTCTTTCAACTATGTTGAAATATTGGTTCTGCAATCTGATTAGATGGTTCTTTCTTTCTTCTAATCATCAAGCCTGTCAGTTCTATTTTCAGATTTCTCTCCTTCTTTGGCTAAATGCTAAACATCTGCTGAGAATGGTGTGGAAATGGCACGTGCAGAGTTGACCTGTTCTATTCCTGTTTACCCTGTGTTGAAGCATCTTCTTTGGTTTAGTTTAAATATCTTCTTAAGGATGGAGGTTGGCTTGATTTTTATTTTTCAGTTCATTTGCATGTTGGCATATTTACTGTTTTTATTCAAGTCCAGCAGAAATTAACATTTCTCAAATAAGCACTGAAAATGCTTCAATGGAGCTAATGTTGGAATTCTTAGCCAATATTAGTCACACACCTATACTCAAAATTACAGCAATTTGCACTAATAGTAGACAGTCTCACTTAGAGAGGACAGAAAGCTGGCAAATGTGAAGACCTCACTGGGATAGGACTTGATGTTGCTGCAAAGGTTTGGGAGGGCTCTGAAATTTACCTGGAGTGCAGAAACAAAATTACATCTGCAACATCTCTCTGGTTAGCACAAATACACACATGCAATTGTGGTTCTCCCTGTCCAGTGTTCAACATACACAGAGTTTACCTTTCTCCCAGCCTTGTTGTTATGCAGATTCATCAGCCTCCTGGCATTTTTTTTAATTTCCCTTGCATCTACAAATTTCCTTGAGAACTCAATTCCATATTTGATGTCTGCAGAGCAGCCTCCCCATTTCCACCCTTCGTCTTGGTTGTAGTAACCCTGTTTCTCTCGATCACAGCCACAGTTGCTCAGGTTTCCTTGACTGCAGGCAGCAGTCACTGCATGAGCTACACCAGCTGCAGTGATGGCATAAGTGAACGCTGCTTCTCGGCTACCTGTGGACACAGGATGTCAACTGTTAGCATGGGCATCAGACACCAGTAAATTTATAACATTACTTTATTGGTACACAAACCTGTTAAAGTGTTAATGGAACAGTGCATGGCTGAGAGTTCATTAAATCACAGAAAATCAAACAATCTAAATGACAACAGAATATTCTTAATCTGTTATTGTGAGGACCATTTACTGGAGTTCTTGGAATACACCACCTAAATTAAAGATATATTCTCCCATTTTAAAAGGAGGAGCAGACTTTGATTTGATTTATTATTGTCACATATATCAAGATACAGTGAAAAGTATTGCTTTGAGTGCTATCCATACCTTACATAAGTACATAAAAATAATAGAACAGAATGCATGATATAGCGTCACAGAGAAAGTGCAGAGAAAGATCATCTCTAATATACAAGGGATTCGTTCATAAGTCTGAATACAGCAGGGAAGAAGCTGCTCTTGAATCTGTTGGTATGTGTTTTCAAACTATTATATCTTCTGCCTGATGGAAGAGGGTGGGGTCTTTGATTATGTTGGCTGCTTTCTTGAGGTAGCAGGAAGTGTAAACTAGGTCGTTGGAAGGAAGGATGGTTTTCGTGATGGACTGGGCTGCAGTTACAACTCTCTGTAATTTCTTGTGGTCTTGGGCAGAATAGTTGCCATACCAAGCTGTGATGCATCTGGATAGAATGCTTTCTATAATGCATCTATAAAAACTGGTAAGGATCATTGTGGACATGCCGAATTTCCTTAGCTTTCTAAGTAGAGGCTTCAATTAATCTACTTATTTAAGACTTAATTTAATCTACTTATTCATTTAAACAAAACAGGCAAGCAGCAAGAGCAGTTTAGACGGAGTTGATCAAGTTCTTGAATAGAAGCTGGCAAACTAAATAGTCAGCAAAAATATAATTGATTCTGGGGATAGATATAGGTTTGATGGATATATTGGTTCTTGTAGTTTGGGCAGGGCTAGTTTTGCCTAGAGGATAACAGCCCACTCGATGTTGTTGATGATAGAGACGAATCAATATTCTAAAGTTATTTTGCAATCATTTTTGAGGCTCAGGGAATTTTTACTCAAGTTTATTCTTTTTTCTTTTTGAGCATTTCATTTCTGAAGAATAAATATTTTGAGCAGAATCTACAACGGGTTACATGGGTATGGGAAAACCTTGCTTCATTTCACCAATGTGTCCATGCCCAACCCCTCTCCCCACCAATCCAACCACCCACCCACTCATTGTTTAAATGTGTAGCCCAGGCTGTCCTCATAGTCCACCAGCAGGATGTTATATTGAAATCCCCAAAGAGCTCCTTTACTGTGGTTCAGGTCTAGAACACTGTGTAGTATAAACGAAAAAAAAAGACGCTCAAGCACCATATAAAAGAAAAGCTTTTATTTACAACTTGTGTAACAACTGCCATAAACTTACTGCAGACAGAATAAGATTTGATTTGCTAAACATGATCTTGGCTGTATTCTCACATGGGGCACCAATTCCAAGAAATCATCTAGCACGTCTGGAGCTAGAGGGTCTGTATAAAAGGAGAATTCTTACAAGCTAGACAGATGCCAACTATGGCCCAGTGTTTTCTATCCTGCTGACTCCATGACTTCATTCTGAGAATACCAATTATATTAACAAGTTGGGAAGCCTCAGTTAGACTAAAGGAAAAGCAAGTCATCATAAAATATAAAGCAGTGCGCATGGTAAGTGAAATGGAAGCACAAAATACTCAGTTTGTACAAAAAACACCTTTTTGACAAAATATTTCCAAGACAGCAATCAAATTCCAGTTTCAAATCTCATCCAGCTCTGCATATAAAATCTAAATGGCTTATCATCACCCAAACACCAAATTCAGCTTCACATGTTGAGTTCCTCTGCAGGCTTTTTAAAAAACATGTATTCTTGTTGGGTCATGTCTACTTACAGCCCTTCAACAAAAGTCATCATTCTAAAAGGGAGATGCATAGGCATCTTTCTTTATTTGCTTTTGCCTAGAAAGTTTTATAAAGTTAACAACAAATGCCAAAATGCTGGTCACACTCAGTTGGTGAGATCAGATCTGTGCATATAAATATTGAAATATCTTCTCTATTTTCTCCATGGATTTTGTCTCACCTGCTGACTGTTTATAATGTTTTCTGATTCAGGTTTACAAAATCTGTTAAGGTTCCTTTTTTAAAAGGCTTATGTTTCTTTTCTCTTCTTCTCTGAATGGTGTTGAAATAGCTATATATGAATTTGAAAGAGACCACGGAATTCTGAATAGATTTACCCTCAACAAATTCAACCAATGCAGAGAAACAATCAACAATGCCAACAGAATGTTGAATTTTGTGGCCAGAATAAGAGGGTCCAATTCATGGGAAGTCATTATTAAACTGTGGTCTGATCACATCTAGAATTCTGGTCTATGAGGCACAAAAGGGACATTGAAGCGGTGGAGACTTTATACAGAATACCTGTGAGGCTGATCCCTAGTTACTAAATGCTGAGTTATAAGAACTGGCTGAAAACCTGAACAACAGGTGTCTGAAAAGTAATCACGTAGATAAATATGATAGCTACTGGAATGAAAAAGGTAAATCTGGTACTATTTTAATTAAATTGTAAGACATATTTTGTCAAAACTTTCTATCTTGCACTTATCAGGACAATTCACAAAAACACCAGTATAAAAGCATTTTAATACCATTTTTAACTAGATTAGCAGAGCATGCTGATTGTTTGGCAAGTAGATTCTGATTGGTTGCGGCGTTGTGATGCAGAATGCACACATTATATAATGACTGACAGTTAACTGTCAGCTTTTCTTAAACAATTAAATTTGTTCTAAATTTGAACTCTAACTAACGAAGCCATTCCCTGAGGAATGAGCCAGAGAATAGCTCTCACTTATTTTGTTCAGTTGAAATAGGTACAACGTGTGTAGTGTTCTTTCCATTAGGGCGGCACAGTGATTAGCATTGCTGCCTCACAGTGCCAGGGACCCAGGTTCGATTCCAGCCTCGGGCAACTACCTGTGTACAATTTGCACATTTTCCCAGTGTCTATGTGGGTTTCCTCTGGGTGCTCCAGTTTCCTCCCATAGTCCAAAGATCTGCAGGTTAGGTGGATTGGCCATGCTAAATTGCCCATAGTGTCCAGGCTAGATGGGTTGGCCATGGGAAATGCAGGGTTCCAGGGTTAGGGTAGAGTGGGGGTGTTGGGTCTGGGTGGGATGTTCTTCGGAGTGTTGGTGTGGACTTGATGGGCTGAATTACTTGCTTCCACACTGTAGGGATTCTATGATTCTCAGATCTGTAAGGAACAGGACCCTGTAGCTTCCACTATATGCAGGTACACTGCATTGTGAGCCTAACTTGGAATCTTGTTGATGTATATGTCTGGCTTGGCTTTGAGGCCTCACAATATGTGAAAAGTTTGGCAGATTATTCAGAACCCTGCAATACGCATGCACTAGGTCAGCTAATTGTGCTTTCAAGTATTCAGCAACTTTGGTGGATGCCGGTTTCTAATTAGATCACAGTGCGTAGAGGAGCTTGAACCCTATAAATGCCTCTTCCTGTTTGATATGGGATGAAGACACACCAAAGTTGAAACCATGCACAACAATTCCTTGCTTTCAGATAGTAAGTGGTTAAAGAGATTTATTACATGTTTAGTGGTGTCATTAATTGCATTACATAATTGCTTCCATTTCAGTGAATTTGTGGTGTGAACATCTTTATTATGCAAACATTTATTAAGGCAATATACTAACATAAGTGAATCAAATTTAAAATATCAGAAATGTGCATACCTCAAATAAAGAGTAGCCTAGGGCGCAGAATAAATTAATTACCCTGTTACCAATTTGTTCAAATTCATCTCGCATAAATGTTTGCTCAATCATGGGACTGTCTCACTTTATCAATATCAATAGGTTTGCTAAAGAAAATTGGCACAACTTTGGCTTTAGCATATTCAGAAAAAATCTTCAACAAAAATCTATCTTTTTTCAGCCAAACTTAATTGCAAGAATGGGAAAAACAAATTTAAGTTCCAGCCAGTTAACAAGTTAATTTAACACGGATGTCAGGAATTCTTCCTCATAGAGTAATTAAAACTCACAATAAATTCTCAAATAGCAAAGTAGGCTTGAAACTGCAATCACTTAAAAATTAAATGCATATTGTAATGGGACTGAAGTTTTACAATCTTTCTGGAATACTAAATTAATTAGATTTCTTTACCTGTGACTGTCTTTTGATTTTGTGTTTTATGAATATTGCTTCAAAAGTGTGATATGAAGGTGTCAGTCTTGGACTGGGGTAGATGAAGTCAGAAGTCACATGAAACCAAGTTATAGTCCAAAAGGTTTATATGAAATCACAAGCTTTCGGACCACTGCTCTAACGATGGTCTGTTTAAGGTTGAGTGGTTGTTTTCACAGTGAACGATGGTCTGTTTAAGGTTTGGCAAGAAGTGGAGGCGTAGGGATGACCTTGGCGAGATGTTCATTGTCATTGCCATGTTCTTCACAGCCTTCAACATATCGTTGATAACGACGAACATCTCACCAAGATCATCCCTACACCTCCACTTCTTGCCTGCATACAACCACCAAACCTTAATCAGACCATCATTCACAGCAAACTACCCAGCCTTCAGGATGACAGCGGCCACAACACCATACAACCCTGCCATGGCAACCTCTGCAAGACGTGTCAGATCATTGATATCGGATACTACTATCACACGTGGGAACACCACCAATCACGCACACGGCAGGTACTCATATGACTTGGCCAATGTTGTCTACCTCATACACTGCAGGCAAGGATGCTCCAAGGCATGGTATATTGGTGAGACCATGCATATGCTACGACAACGGATGAATGGACACTGCGCAACAATTGCCAGACAGGAATACTCCCCGCTGCCGGGGAACACTTCAGCGGTCAAGGACATTCCACCTCCGATCTTCGAGTAAGCATCCTCCA